CGGGCAGGGTGGTGAAACATTTTGGTAGCCCGACTGGAAAACACAATAGCCCCGGGACGTCGGGCTAGCGATTTTGCGAGCCCTGGGTTGTGGTTGAGGACAGTGCTGGTTTTTTTTTTTATTATATATTTATGATATATTTTAAAAATATATAAAATAATACAGACTTTTTAGTATTTCCACACAAATTAGCGTACATTTTGGGAAATGATTTCAAAACATTTTGTGTGCAAGTTTGGAGCAGAAATCGGGCAAAATAAAACAAAAGGCTGGTTGCTGATCTCGTTTGAAGCAAAAACTGACTGGTTCAGATTGATGGCCGGTTGACTGGTGCATCTCTACACAAAAATTATTTGTATTTTATAGAATAAATAATATGTATATATTATATTGACTGAGGGAATGAGTGAGTATAAAGTATCACAATATATTACTATATCACTGTAATAATAACGTTCATTATCATCATTTCACCTGTATGTTGTACTATTTTGGTGTAAATGTCATTTTAAAACAATTTCATTTTAATTCTTTATTTTAAAAATTATTTATCATGTTTGTGGTGTTTTTTTGTTTTTTTGTTTGTTAGTAATCTCCTGAAGATAATTCCGTTGTGATCCAATTAACGGCAGCATTGCCCTCCTATTTTAAAAGTAATCAGCTCGCACTAATGCTGCAGGTATCAGAAGCGGCCACACGCTCAGATCTCAGCGTCCAGCACTGGAACAGTCACACTATGCCACTAGAACACCATTTCTTCCTCCGTCATCCTTTAATCAGCTCCATTTAAATCACTTGCAAAGACCACATCACTCCTTGACACCCTTGAATTGCATTTCATCTTGTGAGTTTTGCCCTCTGTTTGTCTGTGTGTCTGCCCAATCAAGCGCTGAGACAGGCAGCAGTCGTTAAACCGAGGTCCCGTCCCTTCCGCTCATGACGGTGGCCCATTATTGTTACAATGAGAACAGTCTAAACTTTGCTGTCTGTGCTGATTTCCTCCCTCTGCACCACATTGCCAACACGTGAGCGCATGGGTTGTTAAACTGGTAACTTCTGTTGCACTTCATCGAAAAGCAAATAAGTTGAAGATGAGAAGGGAGGTGCTGCAGCTGGTGGGATCTAGTGAAATGAAAGGTCAAGGTGGCTGTCTGATGGAGGATTTTCTGAATTGGGAGAGTGGTGTCTGTCCTAAACCTTAACATTTTATTTGTGAATTTAACATTAATAGATGGTCTAAAGCAAAAGAGCTGTAAAAATTCTAAAAATCTTTTAGAGCTCCTTGTATTTAGGTTTTCATAATCCATTTGAAAAAATTTATACATATTAATAAATAAATCTGTATATATTAAATTATTTAATTTACAAGTGTCATGTCATTTTTATTAATGTAACCTATAGTCTCTGACCTTTAAATCAAAACACTCGTCATTTTATGACATCAATGACTGCTTTACTTATTCAGAAACACAAGTATCTTAATGTATTTTACTTTCATTTTATTACAAGTAGGCCAACAGCACCCCCTAAATAAATAAAACGCCTTACCAAACTGGCATTAGGACCCGGGGGAAGCTGCCGCCGCTGCTGTTGCTGCTACACGCGCTAGAGACTGTTGACACTGTGGCACACCAGAGGCATCATTCTATACTTGCGTTCTCAAATTAAATGCAATGATCCAAAATCAGTCTAATCATTATTTAGGCAAAAGTTCGCTTGAAGAATGACCACACTGCTGATGTGATCTTATCGCTAACACACCCTGAATGATTCGTCTTATCGGCAAGGCATATCAGCATCATTTTTTTTTTCAAATCGGCCGATGTTTACATTTTAAACCTTTATCAGCCATTTCCAATAACCTTCCGATAATATTGTGCATATTTGGGCTCATAAAAAAACGAATATTCGAATATTTGTTTATTTAAATGACGTTTAACAAGAAAGTAGTTATTTTTTATTAATCAAGTTTTCGTCACCATTTCTGAACAAGCTTATGATTAGGCATTATACTCAACAATGTTCTACAACAACGTTGCGTTATATCTCCAGGTTTTCTTTTAGTTGAAAACGTGTGTAAACAAAAATGTATATACATAAAGAACAAAAGCATTCAAGCTCAAGCATAGCAAATGGAAAAATAAAGCAGACAGTGCCAATTACAGTACAGTACATACACTGTACTACATACACTACAACATGGGATTAATCAATGCATGCTTTATCATAGTTTATAGTTATATGGAAACGAAAGTGGTTAACATTCAACCGTTCTTTTTCATCAGTATTATTTGTGATTTGAATTTTGTGAACGGGAGTTCCTCTTTTGCTGTGTTATAAGCCGGGCTTTGGGTGCTTTCACTTTCGAATCTTTCAAATTCGCGATCTTGTCAAGGTTTACAAGAAAAGATAATTGTCTGATTTGCTTACATACATCTACACACCTTTCACTTTTTAAGACTAAAACAAAAGATGGATTAATTGTTATTCTTAATTAAAAAGTTCAACAACAATAAAACGGTAAGGTACAATGACAAACGTTTATTAACAAAAACGAATAAGATGAGGCATGGCATAGGCTACACCACATGCTGTATTATATACCGACTAATAAATTGCAGAACGTTTAGCAAACACTGAGGAATCAAATAAAAAAGTAAAATAAAAGAGAGCCTCCATAGCTTAACGTGAGGTAAACAGCAAAGATAACAAGCTTTT